AGGACAATGGTCGGGACAACGGGACAATGGTCAAGCCAGTGGCCAAATCAAGGGACAACGGTCAGGACAGTGGGACAATGGTCAGGACAATGGGATAATGGTCAGGACAATGAGACAACAGTCAATCCAGTGGCCAAATCGAGGGACAATGGTCGGGACAATGGGACAATGGTCAAGCCAGTGGCCAAATCAAGGGACAATGGTCGGGACAATGGGACAACAGTCAATCCAGTGGCCAAATCAAGGGACAATGGTCAGGACAACGGGACAACGGCCAAGCCAGTGGCCAAATCAAGGGACAATGGTCGGGACAAGGGGACAATGGCCAGGACAGTGGGACAACGGTCAGGACAATGGCCAAATCGGGGCGAACGGCCCCAAAACGAGCGCCTCGCGATGGACTCACAGCCGCACTCGAGGGCCTTGCTGGTGTTCCTCATGTCGCCCTCCACGTCGCACGTGTAGACGGCGCCGGCGTCCCAGTCGGCCGCGGCCACGGCCAGGCTGCTGTGGGTGACGTAGGCGCCGTGGCCGTCGGCCGTGGGGCCCTGCGTGGCCACGCCGGCCTGCTGGGGCGCCCCGTTCTTCAGCCAGCGCAGCTCCACGGGCTGCCGGCGCGGCGACACCACGCGGCACAGCGCCGTCGCGTTGCGGAACGGGCCCTCGAACTCCTCGCGGGACGGCGGGTGGAGGCTCACGTCCAACGTGGGCGGCACGACGGACCCTGGTGGGACGTGGGGGGCTCCTGAGCACCCCAGGACCTCCAAACACCCCATAGCACCTCAAAGCCCCCCAAAAACCCACCTGGCACAACAGACCCTGGTGGGTCATGTTGGAGACACCTGAGCACCCCAGAACCTCCAAACACCCCATAACACCTCAAAGCCCCCCAAAAATCCACCCGGCAGAACAGACCCTGGTGGGTCATGTTGGAGACACCTGAGCACCCCAGGACCTCCAAACACCCCATAACACCTCAAAGCACCCCAAAAACCCGCGCGGCGCCCGCCCGCCGTGGAGCGAGAGGCCGCCGGCGAAGCGTGAGGAGCAGCTCACCGGGGTTGGTGAGCTCCAAGTAGCGGTCGCCCTCGGGGTGCCGGGCCCGGCAGTAGAAGGGCTCCTGGCTCTTGCCCTCGTCCAAGGGCAGCGCCAAGCGGCTGGCGGCCGTGTAGAGGCCGTCGCGGACGGAGGCCGACGGGAAGGTGGAGACGCCGCCGGAGACGCTCTGGTTGGCGTGGTCGCTCCAGGAGAAGAGCAGCTCGTCGGGCAGGAAGTCCACGGCGAGGCAGGCCACCGAGTAGAGGTCGGTGTTCTCCAACGTGCCGCAGGAGAGCAGCGGGAAGAGGACGGGAGCGCTGGAGCGGCCTGCGGAGGGCACGGGGAGGTGGTCAGGGTGGTGGGAAGGGCTGGAGAAGGCGGCGGGGTCGGGGGGTCCATGGGGGGTGGAGGCTTGTGGAGGGAGACATGGAGGGACGCCATGGATGGAGGTTGAACAGGGATGGAGGTCACTATGGTGGACACCATGGATGGAGGTCAATGGGAATGGAGGTCACTATGGTGGACACCATGGATGGAGGTCAA